GCTTCCAGCCTCTTGAGTCTGGGAAGGTTTTGAATACTTTAGCATCATTGCATCAACTGCCCTTGCTGTTGGAGGTGAAAACGCTTCAGTTTCATCTGGTGACTCTTCTCCCTCTGATTCAGAGTTGTCATATTTATCTGCTTCATCCTATCAGAAAAAAATATAGCACAGTAAATTTCAATGTTGATAAACCGTTTTTATTAGTATATATTTTTATTAAAGCTACAGTTATTATAGGGGTGACAACCACTAGGGGTATGTTGTACAGTTGCCTCATTTACTGTCATTATATTTACTGAAATATGTTTATTAATGAACACTTACTTCATGCCACTGTAAAATTTACTTAAAAACAACAAAGCATTATGAAATTTGCATTATTAAAAAAATGTTAAAATCAGACCAGTTGATTTCAAAAATTTCACTATTTTTTTATTTTCTATGAAATTTATTTTTTGTTTTAATTGTTAATGTGCAATACTTTCCTACAGATTCACAGACATACATTGTTCATGTTAGCACACATGAAAATTATTGTTCTAGTCAAATGGTATCTTGTTTAAACGCCTTCACCTCATGGTGGTTGTAAATCTGTATACTATGGCTGCTCATGTTGAAAACAGTTCAAATTAAACTTACAAGTTTTTGAAGTAGTTGGCGAATGTGAACTTTCACTGGCATGGTAGCTTTGTCAAAAAACATGTTGATATCCTCCGTACTGAGTATTGACAAGGTTTTGCCATCCATATTGTTACCTGTAACCAGGGACGTGGGAAGAAATGGACTCGCAACTGAATATATTAAAGGCGAATGTCGCACTCTGATTGGCTACAGCCGTTTCAGSCTGTTYRBAATGTTCGCTGCGCGCCATTCCCATGAGACACGTGCTTTTAGTAAACATTCAGCTGAGTGTACAACACGCGATTTTAAGATTATCTTCCTATTATTTTCAAATTCAAGCTTCATTTTTACAAGAACAATCAAGCTGAGTTTATGATGTATATCATTTTTAATAATTACACTTAAAAACAAGATCAGTTGGCTTTTTTTGGCTAAAAAATCCAGCAAAACATGCAGCTCACCGCGACTAAAGCGAGATCTGTCAAAACACATGATTGTTATACCACTTGGGGAACACATTTTGTCTTAAAAAACACCTCTAGCAAGCCCCGATTTGTGTATTTGGCTTATTTAGGTATAAAGGCATGGGCTATCAGAGTTATTTTGGTCAAATTATCGAGATGAAGCGAGAAATAAAGCATAATTTGATGCTTTGCTCGAGCCTGGCATTCGNTTTATCATGCGTTTCAGCTTCTTCCACTTCTTCGAAATCTAGCGAGTCCCATTCCTCGTCGATATCGCTACAGTTTTCGTCATCTTCATCCAATTCTAGTTCCAAACAAAACGATTCATCACTGTCGAAGTCTTCACTCTCGTCCGCCATTTTTGTTATGTCGTGTTGTGACTAGCACTCGACCCAGGAATTACCGAGTGTTTACTGGCCGTTGTCATGGTAAGCCAAAAATCAATTAGCCGCGAAGCGCAACGAACATTGATTCGAGATAATTTATTAATTTATTCAGTTGCCAGTCCATCTCTTCCCACGTCCCTGCTGTAACCAATCAAGTCATCACATCAAAAAATACAAAGGATGGAGGGAGATTATGATGCAGTTTGGGGTCTATAGTTCCGGCTGTTTCTTGGTGTTGCAAGGCACCAAACTCACAAGTCTTTGATTGTATTTTTACTCCTAGACAAATTTTCTCTCTGGTGCTGAATATGTTATTATGATTCACCAAGTACAGGGATTTATTGCTTTCCTTGCTTCTTTGCATGGTGTACATGATATAATGTATCTGCCTCTATAACAACCACTGGGACACTAACCCACTGACCCGGGACACTGGCCCACTGACCCGGGACACTTGGTTGCTTGCATTATGTATATTACATGTATCTACTTCTACAACAAACACTGGGACGGTGGGTCACTGGGACACTGGGACACTGGCCCGGGACACTGGCCCACTGACCCCGGGACACTTGATTGCTTGCATTATGTATATTACATGTATCTACTTCTACAGCAACCACTGGGTCACTGGGACACTGACCCACTGACCCGGGACACTGGCCCACTGACGCGGGACACTTGATTGCTTGCATTATGTATATTACATTATCTACTTCTACAGCAACCACTGGGACAGTGGGTCACTGGGACACTGGGACACTGACCCACTACCTCCGTTTCATTTTTTTCTTTTTCTTCTCATCGTCTAGCTCATTGTCCTCACTGCCCTTCCGTTTTTTGGGGACGTTCTTTGAAGAGGGGCCATCTTTTGCAGTTGTATCTGTACACTGATCAGTGACTTGAGGTGGTTCTTTTTCCACCATYCTTTCTATTGATTCCATCATCAGCTTTTCTAATTCTGCTTTGTTCTCTAAATGAAAAAAAAGTCTAATAATTAAGTGTTTGATATCACCATTGCTATTATTCATTACCATTCGAATGAATTGAACGTCAAATCTACTACTGGCAATCGAGCYAGTCTATTGTRCGTCATTGCCGACATAGTTCAAAGTATATCAATAACTATCGTGAAAGCTGAGTCACGCCAACTGTTACTATAGGAGATTTTGATAATCCAGTCACATAAAGTTTTGTTCATTTGACCTTAAGTGCACAGTCGTTAAGATAAAGCATTGGCAGTTCAAATATTTGAGCGCAGAATGAAATTCCTATAAAATTACCATCGTCTTTATGTGCTCCATACAAAACATTTATAACAAGAAAATTAAATTAAAACATGAAATGTAAATACAATCGTATATTAAAAGTTAAAAGAAACTGAGTCATTATTATTTTGTTACCAATCAGTCCAATCAAATTTAGGTTCCGAATAACGATCGATAAACAGCCTTATTCTACAAATTGTAGCCATTCTTACTTGGACTTACCTCCACCTTTCACCAACTTCACCTGCCAAAGTTTTCTTTCTGCCTTTAGCGTCGCAATTGACCCTTCCATTCTTTTGTCTTTTGGGACGCGCGATAGTGGAACAACATTAAATTCTTTTGTAT